CCTCCCCACCCCCGCCCAGGCCACGTGTTCTGCACATGTAGGTGGTTTCCACCTGGTCCTGCCATGCCTCTCATCCCTCCTGTCCGCACACAGGGCCCCTGCCGCAGACACATGGAGGCTTCCCTGCAGGAGCTCAAAGCCAGCCCTCGGATGGTGCCCCGTGCCGTGTACCTGCCCAACTGTGACCGCAAGGGATTCTACAAGAGAAAGCAGGTATGCCCCGTCCCATGCCCCCAAGTTCAAAGGACTCCCGAACAGACACTCACCAGGAAACCTCTACCTCTAAATGCTTAAAATGTATGTGTTTTTCGAACCTCAAATATCCATAACACAATTGTGACTTTTCCCATTCCTCCCTGTGCTACAATCTACTTAAGTTTTAATGACTCACCTTATTTACATGAATTTTATTAGGAAGGGAGAGAGAGAGAAAGAAACAATGATAATTGTTTCACTTACTTATGCATCCACTGGTTGATTCTATGTGCCCTGACCGAGGATCAACCCTGGGACGATGCTCTAACCAACTGAGCTACCCAGCCAGGGCTACATGAATTTTAAAAGAAAATTTGACATCAATGTGTCTCATCACATGTTGTATGTTATTTTCTGATATACACACATAAATATATGCATATATATGATTTTAAAGCATATTTTCACCATGTACCACCTGAAATCACTGCGTGTCCCCTTCATAGCCAGGCTGCCCTTTGAGCTGCCCCACTGTTGGCTAACCAGGGTGCTTAGCGTATTAAATTGGGTCCGCATTCCCTTAAGGCAACAGTGCTCAGCCTTCCTTGGGCATCAGCATCACCGGGCAGGTTTGATAAAACACTAATGCATGACCCCCCGCTCCCCAGTGTCTGATCGGTGGGTCTGGATAGACTCTGAGAACTTTGCTTTTCTAACAAGTTCCCTCCCGTGCGACCCTGATGCTCTAAGCGTACCCTCATCTAAGTGAGGGGTCAGGGGCCAGGCAGCCTTGGGTCCGTTCTTGGCTGTCCCACTCACTAACTGTGTCCTCTTACTCCAGTTATTTTTTAAATCTCTGCCTCCGGTTCCTCATGTAAATGGAGAATAGTTGTGCTTATTATTTTCACAGGATTATGAGAAATAACGGATTAATCTCTGTAAAGCACTTAGAACAGTACCTACTATGTAGTAAGTGTTAAATAGCAGTGCTGGTACATGGTAAAAACCTGCAGAAGTGATACCTCCTATTAACATTATCACTATTATTAATTATCATCACCATCATCAGTATCATATCATCAGTCCATGTAGGTCTCTGGAGAATACCAAGTTGGAGGATCCTAAAAGGGTCACATAAAACTGAGGTTATAGGTCAGACTGCCTAAACTATCATTTCCCCAGACCCTCCCCGGGGAGGGGTACAGCCCCCTCAACTCTGGGGGTGAAAGTCTGTCTTGGGGCGGGAAGACGAAGGGCCAGGAGAGGGTGCAGCCTCCTGTGGGCACAGCCATCCTCACTGCCTGTCCCTGTCCGCACCCCCAGTGCAAGCCTTCCCGTGGCCGCAAGCGTGGCATCTGCTGGTGCGTGGACAAGTACGGGATGAAGCTGCCAAGCATGGAGTATGTCGAGGGGGACTTCCAGTGCCACACCTTCGACAGCAGCAACGTTGAGTGATGCGTCCCCTCCTCCTCTCCTCCCCTTCACCCCACCCCCCCCCCAGCCCCCACTCCAGCCAGTGCCTCCCTCCACCCCC